TCGCCGCCATCGTGGTGTCCCGCTCCCCCTCCTTCTCTTTCCCTCTTGCTGTTGGTGGTTTGCGGTTTCCGAACAGCTAGACGTCGTGGGTACCCCAGAGAGGCTCCAGGGGTCGTTATCGTTATCGTTAGCGTTAGCCTCCAAGACATCGAAGACACTGGACGTCACTGGCATCAGGGCCGACGGCTGCCACGTCGAGGCAGACCCGAACGTGGCTTGCCTCAGGGCCCTGGAGTGCATCGATCGGTGAGACCCGTGCACTGCTGTTTACACGCGGCGCCTCTGTGTAGGTGTATAGCTGGCACGAATTCCGCAAGACGGACTCCTGCGGAGTTGATTTTTTTTCGGGATGAATAATAAAAAAACGCGGAAACTCTGTTCCTTACCTTGAAGCGTGGGGAAGAAGCGGCACTGGATAGAGATGAGAGTGTTATCAATGTGAAGACCACCACAATGACGACAACGATGACAACAGTATAGAATAACAACAGATGTCAAGTGCCAATAACCACAAAAATAATAGGACAGATCATGAGCTAGCTCATGGCCCCCCAAACAGCAGCCCCAACCAAACGTGCGTAGCTCACTAGCTGGTACATCTAGCTAACTAGGGGGGCTGCCCTCGGGACGGCCGGGATCGAACTTTATGCGACTGATCTATCCTGGGCGTGAAAATTTCGTACGTTTGCATCTACTCTTACACCTTGTCTGTCTTGGTCACGTCTCTTTCAGTCATGTGGCGAGGCTTACATACGTCTGGCAAGCCCTCTTGCCTACTCAAGAAACTCTACTCGAGTTGTAAGGCTTGCATATGGCAAGCCCAATTTGCTTGCTTCGGGCATGCTCGAGGAGGTCCATATGTACGTCTTCTTTTTCTTGGATGTATGCATGTGTGGGACGTGTCTGCCCCATTTGTCCCCAAGAAGCGGTGTCACCCCCACGATCGTTCTCACTTACGTCTTTCATCAACATACGGGGGACACTTCTCCACCCCACGCCTTCCAGGCGCTCGTTAATGTGCAGCATACCTGTACCACTTCTGAATGTTGGTCTTTCTCCAACTTCTGTTGGTCGGTCTCACTCCAACTGCTGTCTTGATGCTACTGCGACTCCCGTTACGAAACCCCTAAATCTATTTATTTAGTGATAAGCGAGGCGTTTTCGGCTCTTCTCTCCTTCTGCATCATACATACGAACACCGTTTGCTTCGAAAATGTCGTGTGTCGAACCTTGAGAATAGCATGTCGAATTCGGAGCAGCGGCAGTGACACTTGGAACCCCCTTGCTGTGCCTGCCATGACCATCCCCCCTCCCCCCCCCCCGTCCCACTATGCTGTATCTGCTGCTGCACCTGAACTGTGCAGCTACAAGTGTTGCTACTTTTCACGATCCTGGTCCCCTTCGGGAATTCCCTTGCCCCCCCTGCTGCCCGATCCCCACGCGGGCGATCAGCCTACTGGGAACGCTAGCAGACAAGGCGTTGGTGCAGGCGTGGGGAAGGAGGATGCCGGGGATTGTGGTGGTGGTCATGGCCAGAGCAAGGAGAGTGGAGAGGTCGAGAGCGGCTCTACTCTTGAAGGTGATTGGCTTGCTCATGATGGCAACAATGACGGTTTCACGAAGGATGGTCTCAAGACCTCTGGTCTGGGTGCCGACGTTAACCGTTACCATGTGGAGTTTGTTTTTGTTTGGTACACGGCACACGGTACGGTATCACCGGTGTCGCGCACGGTACCAGTCGGCAGTAGTTCAGGCTTGACGACTAGACTATCGAGCGACCGTACAATGTATAGTTAGTAGGTGTGTGCATCGACCGTGCTCACGGGGTGACCAATGAGAAGAGAATATTTGTGCGTTAGTCTGATCGTGATGGCGGGATGATAAACGCGAACATATGGTGATTGTGCGTGTGTATGCATCACCGACCTCGGCCTAGCCTAGTAGATACTGCGGCCGGTTCCTTGCCGGCATCGCGGTGTGTCGTATTGTAATCTAGATGCCGTGTGTTGTCAACAAAGTATTTTGGAGTGGAGAGACTCTGATACTATGTACTCGAGTGAGGAGTAGTCTATTTCTGCTTGCGGCGCTTAGGAGAGACCGGACTGCGGAAGTAGTCCGATGATAGCGCCAAGGTCATCACGGAGACAGAAATGATTCACGAACCAATGGCAACAATGACGTGGACAGCGGCAAAACCTGTGAACTAGGACGCTGTCTCCACAGCTCATAAATGTCGTCGTTGTCGTCGCTGTCGGTTTGCTACAGCACTAGTACCGTCTCCGTCACGACCTTGGCACTAGTATGGGACGATTCCCGCCATCCCATAGGAAGGCCACTAGACTACACTAGTCTCGTCACTCTCGGAAACAAACGTCGCAGACAGATGAACACACCATCGTAAAAGTACAACTATTGAAATCTGAAAGCAGAACTGCGGAAGCAGAACTGCGGAAGCAGACTGCCCAATTCCTGTTTCGTGAAGAACGGAACTGGCTCACTAATTCCATGCGGATCCCTCCCCCCCCCCTCGCGCATGTCACGACACACGACACACGGCACACGGCACACACACACGGCACAACAAAGCACGGTTGTCGGGTCTGATTGGGAGCATGGGTGGCGCGACAGGGGCACAGCTCGCTGCGGAACTAGGGCTACCGCAGGGGCACGCCGGAGTGGAATCTGCCCTAGCTCAGGCGAGTTGGGTGGCGTCTCATTTGCTCGCCTCATCTTTATTTTTTTCATCGCTGTAGTCAACGCTTACAGCATTTGTTGCTGCATACCGCCCGCAGACCATTGTCATCTCTAACGTGTGCACGACACAAGAAGATCCCAGCAGTTGGGGTGTTTGTTTTCCGAGTGTGACCGTTGGCGTCACCCTAAAACGATGGTGCCTAGGAGTATTATGGTGGGTACGCGAATGGTGTTGATTCGCGAGACGTGGGTCGTGTATGTAGCCAAACTAGACATTGTCTCGCTGTCAGTAGAATTAAGATTCGTTGGCGTCCCCTGCTCGTCCATCAAATGTTATGTCCATCGAAAGCTCTCGTGGATGTTCAGACACTTCGGCCAGATCCCTTCCAGCCGTCAGCCGCATGTGCGTCATCAATGCACGATCCGTGAATCAAGTGTCTGTAGCTCTGTTTTCCTCTCTTATCCATCGAAACGCCTGTGGTCTATCCTCTCACCGAGCAGGCAACGCCTTCACTTGATCAAAACAATGTGTATGTGTATGGGTATACATATGCATATGTATTAATAGCACGTGCTGAAAAGGGAGCTGGATGGTCGATGTGACTTCCAGGGAGCAGGCACGGCCGTCGAACAACAGTAACACCTCGTCCCATCCATCCCATCCCGGTTGGTTCCCTGCTTGTTCCCGCGTCCGGGGTCCCTTCCACGGGTTTCTTCCGTGTCGACAGATGCAACTGCAAGGCGCCATCTACCTAGCGGGGGATTGCTACATGCCCCTTTAGACCTACCAAGACAGATGGATGGTTTGGGCAGACAGACAGCAAAGAGAGATGAGAGGTGGACCTTGCTTTCTGGGGGTTGGGGATCAAGAGAGAGAGAGAGAAGGGGGGGGGGGGGGAGGGGGGGAGACAGAGAGAAACGCCGACATGGTGGGATGGTTTGCGCAGACAAACAGCAAAGAGAGATGAGAGGTGGACCTTGCGTTCTCGGGGTTGGGGGGAGAGAGTGAGAGAGAGAGAAACGGCGACCTAGTGGTCGAAACAGTCTCTGTGTTTGTAGGGGCCAGTGGAGAGCAAAACAACACCTGTTGTTTCCCCTGTTGGCCAAGAATGAGTGTCGTACCAAGTGAAGCACTGACTATTTTTGGTTTGCCGCGTGTTCTTGGATACTACAGCAGCTCGGTCGTAATATTGTGGGGCGTTGTAGCACGTCACTCCTCGGGGCGTAGCGTGACGTGCCGGCCATGATCGACGGGCTTACGCCATCGTACCTCGGCCGGCTGAACCGTAGCAGCAGCAGTAATAGCGGCACCCTCAAGAAGCAGATCGATCTCGAGTTTGGAAGGTTCCATCCGAAAGGAGCTGCACCCATTCACCCACCCATCTGCTTGGTGCATGTGGGTGTTGGCATGCATTTAACTGTAGGATTCCCTTGATGAGACAGAGCCTCGGAGTGGTGGGCGACAATACCGCATTCCCCTCCAGAATACAATACGTTGGCGTTTTAGACTTCAGAGTGTCCGCTGTACCCTTTTCTGCTCAGTGGAGGGTAGTGCATGGCGTTCACGAGCTCTCCAGTGCAAAGATGGTATTGGGGTTGGCCGATGGTCTCGTGAAGGGTTGCTTTGGACGCATGCTCGCATTTCTCAGGGCGGCTGTTGTTGGACCACCGAGTACCGCATACTAGGGCTGACGCTTCTGTCGTTCAAACGCCGACAAGGAGGCCATCCAGCGAGGCAAGCTGACTCCTATAACTGTGGTATAGATTAGTAAAACCCTTAATCCTTACATCCCGGCACGCTGCATCCCCCGTCATCGAATGCTGCTGCAACGGGTGACGTGGCGTGCTCTCCAACACACTAACACACTGTGCGTACGGTCTTTTGCACAACAAGATGCCCGTACCTCGACATTTGAGCGCTTGAAAACACAGCAGGTAGACGTATTCTTTCGCACTTTCTTTCAGCGGGTGGGTGTGACGTTCAGGTCAGGGGAGGACGGGGGTTGCCCCCGTCCACAGGCACAGTACTGAAGTTTCAAACACAGAAGACACACACACCGGCGTACGCCGCGAGCCCTGTGGCAGTGCGAAACTGCGCAAAACAGCGGTTGGTGCCCTGTGCGGACGTTTATCCACAAGGCAACGGGATCGATCGGTGGTATTTATTGTAGGCGCGAAACCAAGCGGCCGCACAGAACACACATGGATCATTGTCCATTTCGCACCACGGGCACTCCTCGCCATCCTCACGCTGATATCGTCTTGCCGGCTCTCCGTTTTTGCGGAGGAACAAAAGAAACTACGGTAAATATTGTCCTCTCATATCGTGTCATAACCCCATCCCCACGCTGCTCCATCGAGAAGAAAAGCTAACGTGTACCCACTCAAATTGCAGTCTACTGGCCTGGGCTCGGGCTGACATTCTCATTCGGGGGTTAGGATTTGCAGTACAGCAGCAGTATCGTCATACTCCGTCGGCATGACGCTATGTAGCCAATCTATTCTTGGCGGGTACAGCAGTACCGTCCGTTCAAATCCCATACAACAGTGTTGAGTGCTGCACTCGACCCTTGCTACTGGTAGGTCCGACAGTTCATCTCCGGGTTCTCAGAGTCTCCAGCCTGAATCGCTTTTCAACGAACGTTCTCAGCGTGTGAGACGGCGATACATACGTCGATAGGTACCGTTTCTAGGCGCTCGTCGTCGCTGGCTGAGTTTGATTGTTGGCTTCTCAAGCCTTCGTTCAAGATCCCGTCCTGTTTGTTTTCTGTCTTGAGAGGAAATGCCGTTCAGTCGCGCCATGTCGATCGACCAAATGGACCGTCGTCACCCTTCGCTAATCGTAACACCCACCATGGCGAACTTCGACACCACCATGGAATACAAACAATCGAACCGTTTTTACCCCTTCCCCCCCGTGCATGACACGTAAGCTGATCGTAAAGGATGCGTGCTGAAAACAACAGTATCGCAACCAAACAAGAAATCAAAACTCCCAAGCCCCCTTGCCTGCTTCTCTCCGAACCCGACCGCCTGTTCAACACACGCCACAGACATAGATAGATGCCACACCACCGCACGTACCCAACAACGAACGACGTGCAGCAGCGGGAGCAACACCCGGGGCCCTTCTAGGTACACTACATACCCCTGCTGGCATGAATTCCTACTTTAGAGGCTTGAGCCCCAGCTTAGCCCTCTCATCGTTCCAGAACTCGACCGACCCGGTGGACGCCTTCCCGCCTTTCCCTCCCCCGCCGCCGCCGCCCCCGCCGTCAGTCTTGGTCTGCTTGAAGAGCTTGCTCCCCTTGGGCTTCTTGGCCTTGGTCGCTGGCTTCTTCTCTTCTTCTTGTCCTTCTGTGTCTTTGGCCTGACCGCCGCCGGTGCGGGGGCTTCCCCGCCGAGGAGGCGTTGATGGAGAACGCGAGCGGCGGCGCTTGCGCGGGCTCCTGCTGTCCCTGTCCGCGGCGCGTCTGTCTCGGCCCCTGTAGTTGAGGACGAGCGATCGGGGCGTGGCACCAGCGCGAGAGACAGGGACGTCGGCGAGGACCAAGGTGAGGTGGGGGGTCGAGACAAGGCTAAGGCTGTGTCGGGTGTGTTCTCGTGTGCTTGCTCTGGCTCCCGTGGGATACGGCCGGTGTTACACAGCCACGACGGCGGGTGCTGCTCCGACGTACAGCAAGGACTCCAATCGAAGAAAGCACTGGGGCACGCCATCGGCAGACCGGATACTTGATACTTCCCTTTCAAGGCTGCGACAGCCGTACCATGCGCGACCATGACCCTGCGTGGGGCGGTGACAGGGCACGACTACACCAACCCCAGCACAACATACACACGCCTACACGACGCAAGGCAACACGACTCCTCCAACAGCCCCCCTCCCTCCCTCCTAAGGTCACCTGCTTCGGCTCCTGCTTCGGCTCCTGCTCCTGCTCCTGCTCCTGCTCCTGCTGCGGCGGCGTGTCGATCGCCCCGCATCCCGCCCCCCCCGCCTGGCACTGGCACCGCGGCTGCTGCTGGCGCTCCTGCTCCTGCTCCTCCGCCCACCGCGCTCCCTGCTGAAACTCCTGCGCCTCCCCCTATCCCGGCTTGAACTCCTGCTGCTGTGGCGCCCGCCGCCCCTCCGTCCACCTCCGCGGCCGCGGCTCCTGCTCCTGCTCCTGCTTCTCCCACGGCGTCCGGTGGGGGGGCGGCGGGTGCCGCGACCCGCACTCCGGCTCCTGCTTCGGCTCTTGCTGCGGGACCTGCCTCTGTCCCTCCAGCCCGACCTACGGTCATGGCGATCACGGTCGCGACTGTCGTCCCTCCCGCGCTCTCTGCGTCATGTTGGTGGTGTTGGTGGTAAACGAAAATGCCAAACAAGGGCGATTCGGATAGGGCGTCAGAGGAAGCTTAATAGGTTGCAACAGAGCAAGGCTACGCCAGAGGAAGGCTGCGGCCAACCCTGACGCTACATCGGTGACGCTATCGGTAATAAAGGGCACATTAATCACGCCTTGAAGTTGTCGCATGGTACGTACGCGAGGAGATGGTAGTTGGACGTAGATTAGTGCGCTTCGCGCCAAAGCGACGGCGACGTCCAGAACCACTGCTTGACCTTTCAGCTTCATCTACTTCCCCGGCCCCATCCCCCCGCAACACTTACCGGCTCCTGCTGCTGCGGCGGCGGCCCCTATCTCTGCTCTTGCTCCTGCTCCTGCTCTTGCTGCGGCTCCAGCTCCTCCCCCTCTTCCCCCTGCTGCGGCTTCGGTCGCGCCCCCCCCTCCCCCTGCTGGCGTTCCTCTCGTCCCTCTTGCTCCTGCCGCCTTTCCGCTTGCGGTCGTCGTCATCGTCGCTGGAGGCACCACCAGCAGAATCATCGCCTGAGTCATCACCCCCGCTGCTGCTGCTGTCGCCCTTCTTCTTGCCGCTTCCGTCTTCGGTCCTCCTGGCCGGGGCCTTCTTGCCCTTCTTGCCCTTCTTGCCGCCATCTTCGTCCCCCTGCCCGCCGCTGCCGCCCTTTCCTCCAGCCCCTTCATCCTTGTCCGCCTTGGAACCCTTCTTCCCACCGTTAGCTGCAGTGTCACCACCACCACCACCACCACCACCACCACCACCACCGCCGCCGCGATCCCTGTCACGGTCCATCGGGAAAGATCGCTCCTTCGCGGCAAGCTCCCGTCCCCCACTCAAGCTACGGCTACGGCTACGGCTATGGCTGCGCCCACGCCCACGCCCGCTGCTCCTGCTCCGACTCCTGCTCCTGCTCGCTCCGCGGCCAGTCCTGGTGGAGGCGTGCTTCTCTTTCCCCGCCCTTTCCGGAGGAATTTTCGTGGAACTTTCCGCGCCGCCGCCGGTCGAGACCTTGGTGGCCTTCGCCGTGCGGGAGCGGCCCTTGGACCCCATCCCAGCACGCTCATCGGCAACGTCCTGGATGAGCGACATGGCCAGGGCTTCTCGAGCCTCGATCTCGGCAGCGCTGACCGCGGTCGGAGGCTTGGGCTGGATTGGATTGGATCGGATTGGATGGACAAGAATTGTTGTGCGAGGAGAGGATGCGTGGGGGAAGGAAGCGATGCCGTGAGAGTGCGGACGACGGGCGGGAGGGGAAAGGCGGATAGAAACGGGAACTCCACCGTGTCTAATGTCGGACATGTGAGCCAAGACAAAAAAAAACGTAAAAACCTTGCGAAAGTTGCCACCGCTCAACGATACCCAAGGAAATGATATAGCGATATAGCCCTCTCGACTCTGTCGCTATAGCAGAGGCAGTAATTATCTCCACAGCAGTACGAGGGGTCCAAAATAGTGCGGGCCCCCGATTTTGTGCGGTCAAAGTCTTGCCTGGCACTCGATTTGCCGAACACGTCGAAACCAGTGTAAAACACAGCAGTCCGCAATAGTTATGCATGTATTGTGGAGCTTTGGTACGGAACCATACTACATCGGGACAATCACCACATGGCTTCACCTCTCTCTCCCTTTCTCATCTATCTCTCGTCTCCCGCACGCCTCTTTCTACCTGTGTCTTCTGGCAACCTCCAGCTGCTGTCTCACATTCTTGCTGTACTTGTCGTCGTCCCCGTCTTCCTCGTCGTCGCTACCAGCAGACGAACCACGCTTGCCCTTGCTCCTGCCGCTGTCCCTGCCGTCAGCCGACCAAGAAACCAAACAACAAAACGATTTCATTTCATCGCGACACCCCTTATCACCCTTCTTGGGGGAATGCTCCTTCCTGCCTTTCATTTGTCCAAAACGAGCTGGAAGGTTGGCAAGACATCCTCGGGCGGTGCCAGCGATGCTTCCATCCCGCTTTGAGCGACCGCTAGTCTGACTCGTCGCACACGAACGCTATGACACGAAACACAGCAAAGGGCAGCCTTCTGACTCCAGCCAAACGGACACCGGGCGAAACTAAAACAGAAACTAAAACAGCAACAGCGGTGCTGTAGCGTGTGACGGGCCCCAACCACGAGGGCATCACGAAGGCAGCAAAAGGGCACACGAAAGCAGCAACAGGAAGAGAGCCAGCCGTGGATGCGCGAAAAGACCAAGAGGCCAAGAGAGCAATCAAGAGACACTGCTTGAGATGCTTGAGACTTGTGCTCCTCGTACCTCCCTCTCCCCCTGCTCCCGCTCCTGCTGCGGTCGCGGCCTCTGCCTCTACGGTCTTGGCGGTCGCGGTCACGGCCAACTCCTCTGCCCCTGTCCTTCCTGTCGTCGTCGTCTTCCGATTCTTCTGGCTCTCCGGCGCTAACCTCGCCCCCAGCCTGGACCGGAGAAAAACAACCAAAACAAAAATACGTGCACAACGATTAGCACCGTAAGATTTTAGCACCAAAAAACATGCGCACGGGATGACACCGTAAGCTTGCAGCACGGACTGATACGGGTACTAACGAAACCGTACACGCAGGACAGCACGGAAAGCTTGCGGCGCGGAAAACGTGCACACGGGATTGCATTGTAAGCTTGCAGCACCAAAAACATGCACGGGGGAAAGCACCGTAAGCTTGCCGCACGGATTTCGGGGAACTACGGTAAGCTTCAAGCACGGACTCGTGGTACGATAATACCGCAATCTCGTACGCGGGATACCTTGCAGCAGCAACGAAAGCGCTTAAGCTTGCTCCATGCACATGGGGATAATACCGAAACGTTGCAGCACGGAATCCGGAAATACCACAACCTTACTATTATACTCGATGCAATCGGGGTACCAGTACATTACAGCGCCTTTAGAGCCATCGCAAAGGGGATGTCATCGTTTTTCAATCTGTTTCACTACTGTTGTCTTGCTCATTTCAATATTAATATTACACTTCAATATATTATTGCCCTTGCTCCAGGCGCACGGTGTTGCATCGAGGAAAACGAAGTTAAAACAAGAGTCGGAGAGATGGCACCCCCGTGTTAGCGTTTTCTTAAGTCGTAGTTCTCCACAACTACTGTAGGAGGGTGCGAACACCAACCGATACCTTTCAGGAAAGCCCTCGACCAGGCGTTTTCCAAAAAATCCCCTTTCGGCAGTGATAAATATATATATATATATATATATTCCCTCCCATCATTGGACTCTGTCGTCTGCGCCTCTGGCCCCCACCCTCCACTTCTACTATTATAGCTAGACGACCCAACCGGCGTCACATAGGAGGGGGGGGTTGGACCCCCTCCTGCGGCTCCTGCCTGAGATATTTTTATCGCGACAAGGGTCCAGCAATCCCTTCCCTCGCGACTTATTATGAAGTCGATCTAGTTTTCTAACAACGAGCTTTGCAGCCCGTCGCTTCCAACTTAGACCAGGATTTATATAGTGAGAAAAATAACTCCCTTTGCCGGGACTCGAACCCATATATACCCCCCTGGTTGTGGAGAAATACGCTACGGTACTATAATAATAAAAAAACGCTGACACGGGGGTGCTGTGCTATCTCTCCGACATTTCGGCACTATAGCTTGAACACCTCAACACATGCCATGCACTGCTATTGTGGCAATCCAGAGAGCGCCGAAGGCAGCAACAGTACCGAAAGTACACAGCAGTAGAAGATGTATAATACTCCCAAGTGTTCGTTGTCGTGCTTTTCTTGTCTTCACACATCGCAAACCACTCCGGTCGCTACTCAGTGACTTTTGACTTTTGGCACCAGACCGCTCAACTGGCGAGAACGGCGAGGCGCTAAATTGTCTACGAAAAAACGAAAGAGCAGTGTTTGGCGTAGAAGGAAGGGCCTAACAGCGAATCAGGTAATAGATAGAGGGCTGGTACAAGACAATACTCTATTAATACCGGGTTTCTCTTAAAACCGTACCATCAACTACTGGTATGTGCTTTTCTCACGGCCACGACAAGCCACTTTCTCTCTCTGAAGCAACACTTTTCTCTTGGGATACTGTAGTGCTCACATCCCAGTCCTCGTCCAGGACGCTAACCCTCGCCCCCTTGAGCAGCTTGGAGTCCTCCAGAGCCACTCTCTTCGGCAACCGGGGCAGGGCGATGCTGCAGCTGATGTCCGAGTGCAACAGCTCTTCGATCTGCTGATCGATCGTGCGCAGCTCCCAGCCTGTTGTTTCATGCGGCAGTGACATCGGTCGGCATTTACAGCAGTGGCTTTGGTGCTAGAGAGCGAGCGAGCGACATGCAAGGCCAAGCACGGCAGCTACTACAAAATACAAGCGGTTCAGTCGGTCGTTTGATAAGCTCACACGTGGTGCCCTGCGCAGAAACAAGAACGCTCGGAGTATTCACAACCCCACCGTTCGTGGAAAGCACTTCGGCTAGCAGCACATCGCGACACTTCCATGGGCCATCCATATGTCCATGGTATGCCATATGCTACATGTGACGAGGACGCACGTCGTGCGGGGACCCGGCGTCACCGAGAGAGAAAACGGAAAAATCCGCAGCTAATACAACAGCGCCACTTTGGGCTAGCTAGGGGTTAGTTTGCGTTGGATAGCTGGCCATCCCACCATACGGTCGTCCATCCAATTAACGGTTGTCCATCCCACCAAACGGGAGTCCATCCAATGAAACGGTCGCCCATCCCACCAAACGGCATTCCATCCAATCAAACGGTTGGTGAATAGTCCATCCCACCAAACGGCTGTGCATCCAATCAAACGGTTGGTAGTCCATCCCACCAAACGGCATTCCATCCAACTACAACGGTTGTACATCCCACCAAACGGCCGTCCATCCAATGAAACGACGGCTGGCATATGTAGTCCACCTAGTGGCGACCCACAAATACCAATAAATTATCGTGGCCTTCCTGTAACGTTAAAATACCATGGTAATATTTCTTGAAGCATAGCATACCTTGTGTCAAGCGTAGTCGTATCTTCCTGTAGTCGTTGTAGAGAGGCTCTAGGTACTGATATATATCCGCCGGGGTGCCGACGAGTCGGAGATAGAACGCGCCCAGCACTCGAACATACCTTGCAGCACCACGGCACGCCAAGTGGCAGCAAGCAAGCAGCATTCAAGAACGAAAACACGGACTACGAGAGAGACGAAAGTATCACGTTCCCAGACAAGTGTTGACGGCTGACCATCGCAGTGAAAGTACTGCAGTATGTGAAAGCAATATTCGCGAACGAAAAGAGTACGAAATAATACCTTCCAGACAGAAAACTCAAGACTGAACACAGCAGTGACAACAGTCGCACCATTCCGTACAGTACTCCCACAACGCTTCCCCCGTTGCGTTCGAAGATGAACTTGAACCAACCAATCCACCCATCAAACGGGTCATGGCAGCGCCGACTCCTCTTTGAATCTTTGAAATCGCTCGAGAGCAAGGACAGGACAATAGCCGGCGCAGACAGACCAGCCAACACCAACCACACTTCTCACGCTTCCTTCCTTGCATTGCGTGTTTGAGACAAAGGTAGATAGATATGCGACGGGATAATAAGAATGAATTTACAAGGGCATTTTGATTTCGTTGTGGCCAGAAATAAATGGCAACGCCCATTCCTCTCATGCGCGGGTGTTTGTTAACAGCAACCAACAAGCTTACAGCAACTACTCCTGGCGGTAAACTTTTCTAACAACACAAGCAAAACCACAAAACCCCACTTTAGTTGCACATTTGTCCGAAACTTCACGCCGATCTCCGTAGACCCGAGCCGTCCTTTGAGACCTTTCAAGACCACCATCAACCACAAACATTCCGGTTTATCCACGTATGCGCGAACCCAATCAGTCGCCAGAATCTCCGGAAATCAGCGACTATTCAAAGATGTTCTCCCAAAGTCAGCGACCTTC